TACTTAAAATTTTAAAAATATTCATCAAAAATAAAAAAAAATACGAAAAATAAAAAACTTAATTTTTAGAAAATTGAATTCAAAAAATTGAAACTAAATACACTAATTAATGTTAAAAATAAAGACAATAGTCAAATAAAATAAAATAAAGGAAAGGAAAGGGATATATGAGCTGGTTTGGTGTTTAGCTTTTTCCTTGTAATTTTTTTTTGACTTTTTGAAGAGTTAAAAAAGATATAGACACTTCGGAAAGTTACTATTTTTTTTTTTTTTTATGAGTAAAAAAATTAATGTAATAACTAACTTTTTTAGTTGAAAATAAACTAATTTATTGACCATTTAATTTTTTATCCAAAAATTGACTTTTATAGCTTGCGTCAAACACGGTATTAAAATTAAAAGCAATAATTGAGTTATTAAATAAGAATGGACAAATTACTATTATAAATTTTATATTTTGAGTCTTATATTATTTTAGTTCTTATATTTTTAATCGATTTAATTTTGATTATGATTATAATTTAATATCAATTTGATCTAACTAATTATTACTTTTATAATTTTTTTTTATGAAAAATACATATATAAGTATCATATATCGTATTTTTAAATGTACAATTATAAACTTACTAAGATGTAGTAAGTTAATCTCAATCAATTTATTGATAATTTTTCATAAAAAAAATTCTAATCACTCTGTTTTGTTTCAGTTTTTAGAATTCACTTTTCAAAAAATTTTACTTTTTCATTTTTCGCATTTTTTGTTTTCACTGATTTTTTTAATATTTTAAGCAATTTTTTTTTAATTTTTAGACATACCTAACATAAATATACTTAAAAAGTATAATATTTATGAAAAAATCTCTTTAAAAAATTCACTAAATATCAAAAATAAAAAAAATATGAAAATTCAGTATATTTTTCATATTTTTGTGTATTTTACTATATAGATATATCTAATTGAGGTGCATCTAAAAAAATAAAAAAATTATTTAAAATTTTAAAAATATTTACTAAAAATAAAAAAGAAAAAGAAAAAAAAACAAAATACTCAATTTAAAAAAAACAGAAATCAAATATACTGAATGATATTATCAATTAAACTGATTTAACACAAAATTTAAAATTAAATCAATTAAAAATGTAAAAATCAAAATGATACAAAATAAAAGATAAAAGGTCGGAATCATAATTTGCCAAATAAGAAATTTTGACAAAGTGGTAATTGGGTAAATTTAAACCACCTAGAAGGACAAAAGTATAATTGTGTGACCACTCCTCGCTCTTTTAAAGGTGCGTCTCTGTTTATACTTCTCTCTGTCTTCTCCCTCCCATTCTGCTCTCGCCGGCGGAGATATTCATCAGTCTCTCTCTCTCTCTCTCTCTATCTTGATCAGTCGCGTTTGTACGTTTAGAGAGAGAAAATGGCGTTCGAGAAGATCAAGGTCGCCAACCCCATCGTTGAGATGGATGGTGAGATATCATATCCTTCTCTCTCTTTGCAATCTTCGTTTTCTCAGTTCCGATTGTCCGATCTCTGTAGTTCTCTGATATCCAGATATAGATCTGATCTTCTATTACTTTCTTCTTACTCACTTGAATATAGATCACTGATTCGCATTCTAAGGTGTATGCGAAGCAACTTCATGAATCACCGGCCTTTTTGTTTTGATTAAATTGAATTTATAATGGAATGAATCTGATAACTGTTAACTCTTAACATCCCTTTTTCCCGATCCGAGAAAGATTGGTGGGTCCCTTCTGATTTGTGAGTCAGTGAACAAGATCTGATTTTTATTTGTGAATTTGTAGATAGACACTGATATATGTACTTTTGTTATTGAACTTTACGTTCTGTTTTGATTTATTGATTTGAAATGAAAGGATTTCACACTATTTGAGTAGTTCAAATTTATATTTGATAGTTTAGATATGAATTTAAGGCTTCATTTGGATACGTGGATTTGAAATGAATAGATTTAGTATTACTCATTCAAGGAGTATAGCATTTGATTCAGTGTAATATTTGAGGTATGGATTTTCAACAATGGATTTGAAATAAGTGAACATGGTTATTTGAAATCCTTTCGTGAGTGATTCTTCTTGTACAAAAATATTAACAAAATGCATCTTTCCTATATCTCTATGCAGCCTTTACTTTAGAATTATCAATCTATACCCATCAATCAACCTTCCTATAATGTTATGACGTTGATCATCAAATCCCTTCATTTCAAATCCATATATTGTTGTGAACTTGTGATGGATTTAAAAGAACAATGTAAAAGTAGTTATTTGAAATCCTTCTATTTCTACAAGGATCCTATTAACAATGTAAACTAGTTATGGATAGACACTGATATATGTACATGCGTTTGTTATAGATAGACACTGATATATGTACATGCGTTTGTGACTAAACTTTACAGATTTTGTCTTTTGTATTGTCGAACGGTGGATACAGAATATTGTGTTCTGATTTATTTGTGCTTGGTGTACTGTTTTGTTCTGGTTCTAGTAACACTAGAAAGACACTGAAGCACTAATGCTGTGTTAGGTTGGTGGGGGAATTTGGGAAGGGATTTGGAAAGGGAAATAGAAAAAGTAGATGAAATGCCATGATTATTTTGTATTAAGATTTTAAATTGATTTTTCATCATACTCATTAGTATTTTAATCTGAATTTTCTACATTTATTCTCTTTAGTTAGTAGATTGCAAATGATTGACTTGAGCTTATAGGTTACATATTGATGTGTGAAATATTAAGTAAATGCCTGCAGATATCAATCTTGATGATTCTATTAGATGCCCCTTCTAATCATTAATATGCTGATGAGAAGCTTGTTTTGTTTTTCTTAGCTATGGTGCATGCTTGAAATACATGCTAATCATTATATACTTCCTAATAGTAAGTAGACATTTCAGAATGCTATCAAAATTTAGTTGTTTCTGTTAGTCAGCCATTTGCAGTAACATCCTACATGCTAATCGATAGATACTTGTAGGGATGTAAGAAAAACCAAAAAAACCAACCAAATTGGCTATATTTGGTCTGCTTTTTAACAAGAATTGGTTTGTGTGATTTTTAAATTTGATTTTTAAATTGGCTGTATTCACCTTGTGCATCGAATTAAACTGAAACTGACCGCTTTAAAGTATATTGTATTTATAATATATATAATCTAATAATATAATGATATTAATTAGTATAATAAATTATTAACCTTATCATCTTTATAACCTAAGTTTGTAAACTTTTATTATATATAATTTTAATTTTAACTCATTATTCTTGAAATCTTAGTATTTTTTAACTTTTTTTTTGTTTTTATTTTTGTTAATGTAGGAATTGAAAGTATTTATTAAATGGATGGATTGGATATGTTTAAAATGGTGGACAAATAACTAATTTAATATTTTTATATAGATTAGTGATTATATTTAAAAGTGGTTCAAGTTTGGAAGATTCTAAACCAATTACACCGCACCGAACCGAACCGAACCGAACCGTTTCAATCGGTTTGGTTTGGTGTAATTTGATGGGATAAGTGGTCTGTGTTGGTGTTCAAAATAATAAAACTGACATTATTGGTTCGGTGCAATTTTTTACCTAAATACCGACCGTACCGAACTGATTACATCCCTAAATACTGGAGTATCCTACATTTCATATTTTCTTCATCTAGCCTTGTACCAGAAACAGTTAAGTTGCTGCCTTATTATTATCAGTGAATAGGCCACTTCAACTGGCATGGCCAACCCATCTTAGGGGTGGGGGGCTATAATAGTGTGTATGTGACACCTTTCACCATTATGTGAGTGGCTTGACCACAGAATGTGGATCTTTAACAACACTTATGTTAGTTCATAGCTTTTATTAACAATCAACATGCTTGCATCATAGCAGAAGCTATGACCATGGATTTTAATGTTCTTCATATCTTTGTTAAGGCTGGTGGAGATTCTTTGGCCTTTATGATGAAGACTTTTGCCTAATTCATTTTTTTATTTTCTGAATTTGATTTGGCAAGAGTTGAAAGGAGTTTGAAATGCTAAACAACTAAGAAAATCCCTCAAGCAGAAAGTACTCTGATTGAAGTTATCTGTTGAAAATAGAAAGATAGTTGATGTGTTTAGTGTTAATACTCAATGTGACTTGGAAATTGCCACTGGTTCATGTACAAAATGAAATTCTCTTTCTTTTTCCAGCTTATATTATTGTTTTTATTCTATGATGCAGGAGATGAGATGACTCGAGTTTTCTGGAAATCGATAAAGGATAAGGTAGTATACTTTCTTAGTTCATTTTTGTATACTGATATGCTTTCAAGTTTTTCCCCCTCTTTTGTTTTAAATACTGAAACAGTTGCTTATATTTATAAATTATAATTTTGTTGATATATTGCAGCTTATTTTCCCCTTTGTGGAGTTGGATATAAAATACTTTGACCTTGGTCTTCCTCACCGTGATGCCACTGATGATAAAGTTACTGTTGAAAGTGCAGAAGCAACTCTTAAGTAAGATTTTTCAGAAGTTCTGAACCCACTACTTCCTGTCTCTCTCTCTCACCATTACCATTTTTGCTCTGGTTAAAATTTTTGGGTTGTGAACTGCTTTCCTGTGTTGTATCCTTTTTACTTCTCGTCTTGATATCTGGGGAGTGTAACTGTAATTATAGGTACAATGTAGCAATCAAGTGTGCAACCATTACTCCAGGTACACATGGCCGAGTTCAACTGCCAAGGAATAAACTGGTTGAATCCTCAAAATTTTAATTGTGCACTGACAAGATTTTAATTGCACATGGTATGGTAATTTGCAGATGAAGCTCGTATGAAGGAGTTTACTTTGAAGCAGATGTGGAAGAGTCCTAATGGGACCATTAGGAACATTCTGAATGGTTGGTGAACTTGGTAGTGGTTCATGATTTGTAACTGTTAATTGTATGATGCATTCATTGTTGACAGCCTATTATTATTGGCACTTGCTGCAGGCACAGTCTTCAGAGAACCAATTATTTGCAAAAATGTCCCTCGGCTCATCCCAGGTACATAATATTGATTGCATTGCTGCTTTCATTCTCTTGTATGATATAGTAGTGCAGTAATAGTTGCTATTGTTTTCAGGGTGGACAAAGCCTATATGCATTGGAAGGCATGCATTTGGAGATCAATACAAAGCAACTGATGCAGTCATCAAAGGACCTGGAAAACTCAAGTTGGTGTTTGGTAAAAAAAAATTCTCCCAACCATATTTTGTTACTTCCTTGTTCCTAGGTTTTAAAGAATTGTGTTTATGATAAAAGGTGCTCAACATGTATGCAGTACCAGAAGGAAAAGATGAAAAGATGGAGTTGGAGGTTTACAACTTTACTGGTGCTGGGGGTGTAGCTTTGTCTATGTACAACACTGATGAGGTTTGAGTTTGCAAATTCTTTCGTGGTATGTTGAAGTTGCTTTCTAGATTGCGGCGGGTAACTAAATTTACTTTTCTATCTTGAAACACAGTCCATTCAAGCTTTTGCTGAGGCTTCAATGAACACTGCTTACCAGAAAAAGTGGCCTCTTTATCTTAGCACAAAGAATACTATTCTTAAGAAATATGACGGAAGGTATGCAACTTGCTTGCTTGGCTTGTTATATTTGTATTATCTTTCTTTCTTTTTCTTTTTTTTAATTGCCTTGTGCACTTCTAATCTTGTGGCAACTCCTGGGGAGCTTGTTGATTTGATTTAGTTCACTCTCATGTCTAAACTTGTCCTAATGTTGCTGCATCCATGTTTTCGGACACCTATTTTCACTATGTGTGTAACCTTGTTCTTATTCTCTCTTTTTGCTGAAGATTCAAGGACATATTTCAAGAAGTGTATGAAGCCAACTGGAAATCAAAGTATGAGACTGCTGGGATATGGTGAGTAGACTATTCAATCCAGGCATGTTTTTCTGTTTCTGGTAAATGCCTTACATCATGGATTTAAAATGATTAAATTGATAGGTATGAACACCGTCTCATTGATGATATGGTTGCTTATGCCCTTAAGAGCGAAGGAGGTTATGTATGGGCATGCAAAAACTATGATGGAGATGTGCAGAGTGATTTCTTAGCACAAGGTTTGTATTTTGAAACTTCAGGACCTCAAAGTAACAACAATTATGCATATCCTTGTAATTCTGTGACTTTACTTTCTGGACCTGAATAGAATGGGTTACTGAATGAAGTGTTGTTTTCGTTTAAGCGATGAGTGCTTTGTTTGATCTCAATTTTCTGGCTGCATTCTTACAGGGTTTGGATCTCTTGGTTTGATGACCTCTGTACTGGTATGTTTGTTTTTCAAAAGATGCTTATTCTATTTACTTCTTTGTGATTGGCCCTTTTCGGGGTCCCAATTTTTTAGTGTGATTATATATATCTTCTGTTTTTGTGATTTTCTATTCACCCTCCAATTTTTTTTCTAGTTTCTCTACCCTTGTCTTGTTCTTAAATTCATTTTTATTTCTTGCAAATATTACTGAACTCTGCCGATCAAATAATTTCTTTCTCGCTCTGTTACATTTGTTTTCTTCATGTTTGAATCCGTATATTGGATTTTAATGGGCTATGAATTGGGTTCAGGTATGCCCTGACGGAAAGACTATAGAAGCTGAAGCTGCCCATGGCACTGTTACTCGCCATTACAGGGTTCACCAGAAAGGTGGTGAAACCAGCACAAACAGCATAGCCTCAATCTTTGCATGGTCTCGAGGGCTTGCACACAGGTATGGAATGACGATTATTATTATTATTTATTTATTTTTTGACTTGTTAATGGAAAGATAATTTTTACTTCCACAAATTTTGTCTGTGTATGATGTTTTGCATCTTTTTGGATTCATAAATGTATGTAGTGAATGAACAAACTGTTTTCATGATAACAGAGCAAAGTTGGATGACAATCCTAGACTCCTGGACTACACTGAGAAACTTGAAGCAGCTTGTATTGGAACTGTGGAGTCTGGGAAGATGACCAAGGATCTTGCACTATTAATCCATGGAACTAAGTAAGTGACCCTTAGTGGGTATTCCTTGAATACATTTTCCTTGACTTGATTTCATGTGTAACAACTTTTCATACATGGTACAGGCTTACCAGAGACAAATATCTGAATACTGAAGAGTTCATCGATGCTGTGGCAGATGAGCTGAGAGCTAGACTTTCTTGTTAAGCATAATTGTAAGTGCATATTTTGCTTGATTTATTGCTATAGTGCAATAAAGTTTTGGAGCAAATTGTTTTGTTGTTTTCCAAGTTAAATTTTTTTTTTTAATTCCTCACTATACAATACCTGGGAGTTGCTTGGATCCTCTCTCATTTTATTTTATTTCTTTGGGTTGGTAGATTTCCCATTGTCTCACTCAATTTTTGGTTGTAGGTCCAGATAGGCAATTGAAAGACTGATAGGCATTTTCCAGTGTTTCGGATTCCACCAAGAAGAATAAATGAGTGCAAGAGAAGATTTGGCTAGCTTCTTTTCTTTTCTTTCTTTTTTTGTTTTTTTCTTTTGAGGTGGGGCAGCTGGGAACTTGTGGTTTCTAATTGCTATTAAGCAAAGTTATTCAAGATAATCTTAATTTGATTTGCTACTTTGTTTTGCATTTCTCATCTTGAAATCGAAATTTAGTTATTTTGGCCTATAATATATGTTTCATGATTTGCTGGAATTGAAAAACTCGAGACATGATCGAAATCCTCAAGGTACTACCAATGTTGTCAATACAGTTTTAGTCTGTTTTTCCTATTGGGACCGAAATTTAATAAAGTAAAATATTTGTTTGGGGATATAGGTTTACTTGCTTCTTTAGGTTTTGCAAATACTAGTGCTTATTCTACCTTTGCACCTCTGCTACTGTCTATAGTAACTTCAACTTCAAATCCTTTCATATTGGCATTAAAAATTATACAAATTTCATGAGATTTGATATATATATATATATATTACATGTTCCATAGCTGCCCTGAGAATGTTTATATTGATATGCTTGTAAAAGGCCTCTCTTAACAAATCTTTAAAGGGGAAACAGTCAAGCATTTGAAGGATGATTGTAAAAGATGAGCATGGTAAGCCATATGGATTTTCATTTCAAATTTTAACTGCCTTGGATTTGGGCTATTGGCCATCAGTTGGGAGTTTGGGGTTGAATACTGATATCTTAGCAAAAACAAAACCAAGAGATCCGTATTTATTTATTTTTTTGAGAAACAAAAGATCCTTATTGAGATGCTGAGGGCCATCTTTTTGTTCCTGTTGTTGCAGAATCCTTGCCCTGTTATGGAATTATCAATGTTTCTGGATGCTTTTTGTTTATATATAATGTTGCAATGTGGTTTCTTTTCTCCTTGGACCTTCAACAAAAGGGTGGTACCAGTGTGCCCAAAACTAACACCGGTGGATAAGTAGAAAATATCTACAGGCTTGAGACAATTCACTCTAAGCAACTTGACAAAATAATCCCAACTACGAGAAACTGGTATGTGTGAATATAGTTGGGATTAATTCGATTTAAGAGTAATTATTACTTGCGATTCCATGAAAATCTTGGAACCAAATCTTTTTTTTTTTTTTTGAGTCTTGGAACCAAATCAAACTGAACTAGTAAAACACAATTCGATTCCATTTAGAACCACAGTTTTTAATAACTTTGCCCTCATTTACAACATGATCCCAAATATTGTTCACAAATTAAGAGTTGTTTAGATGATTGTTACAAGATACACTTGCAAGAATAGAGAATTACAACTTAGTATATATATTTGATACTAAAAGTTTTTATGATAAGTAACAAATTATATATATAAATGGTCTGATTCTATTCTAAACCGGATCTGTAATTACAAAACCACAAATCGAATTGTAAAATATGATTCACCTATTTTAAGAATCAAGATCGAACCATATATCATGAAAAATCAAACCAAACCATGCAGTCTAGCCAAGAACGGACTAGTTTGCCATTTTTTGGTTTTTTCGCTCAAGGGATGCCTTAGACATAGTTGCTCTTCGGCCACTTTCATATACATCATATCCTCGTCTCCAAGAAGGTAGCTGTGGCATCCCCCTTCAGTTGCTTTTATTGAGTTCTTAAAATCAAACTCTCTCTTTTAGGTCACCAGAGGTCTGTTTGGTTCAGCTGTTAGCAAGGGTTGGTTTCTTTGTTTATGATTATCTGCTAGTCCGATTTAGGTTCTGGCTTTACAAGGATGATTGTGCGGCCTAAGTGTACAAAGACAAAACCCAACAATCAATACTTCCCCAGAGCATTCACCAGTTCTTGAGACTACTATAAATAGACTGTAGTTATACTCATCTCTCCCGCTCTGGTTGTATATATGTCTCCCTCATGACTGTAACGTAAATCAAACTAGTCATGTTATACAAGTCAAGTGTGATTGTACGTAAAAAAAAATAAAAATAAAATCGAGTTTAAACATATTTTGGAGTTCATCAATATGCAACTTGTACATAATTTTTAAAATGGTGGGGCTTGCAATGTTTCTAAATGATGCACATTTTGCAGCTTGCCTTCCACCAAATTATAGTTGGGGCATTGAACAAACATTCCAATTGTAATTGGAGACACCTTTACTACTAAATCATGGGGTTAGGGCAGAAAGGGTTAACAAATTTCTAACAAGATAACCAGCTGAAATAAGAATCTGTTTAAACCTCTGGACGAATGAATGTTTGACTTCCTCAATCCAAGAAAGAAACTCCAGTACCTCTGAAAATGAGAAATAATAAGCCACTCAAGTATTTTCTCCAGACATGCTGATTGTAGAGTAAGAAATGACACGTATGCAAACTTACCTAGAACAAGTCTCAATTGAAGGTAACTCATGTTTGCCATAAATCTGGATGAGAACACTTTCGCCCCAAGATCTGCAAAACATAACAGAAAAAGGTTTTAAATCAATTAATCCATCTGCTTGACAAAACTATCTCAGTGTTTGTGTTTGTGTTTGCGTTTGTGTGTGTGTGTGCGTGTGTGCGTGTGCGTGTGCATTTATTTCTAGTCCTATTCTATGGATTGACAGTGAAAATGAACATATTTCGAACCAAATCACATATTTTATTTTATTTCAATAACATTCCATCCTTGCATTAATCAGAGACTATCTTTAAAATTGCCGAGTCTAGATCAAAATTGTGCGACTTTGGGTCAATTTTTACCAGTTTCAGGATTCAACTTTGGAGAAAGCCCATATAGTGCATATTTAGCATAAGTTAGCAGCCGGACCCGTTGTGGAGCACCTAACTTGCTAAGTAAAGACCTTAGAATCCCGCTGAAACACAAGAAACACATAAGAAGAGTGATGGACGGAGTACTGCTTCCAGAATCATGATCTTTTCAAAATAAAAATGAATAGGAAAAGGAACATTTTCCATACTCAGTGCGCAATATCATTAGAAAGTCAGAGGGTAGAGATTCCATAAATGAAGATAAATCCTCTATCTTTAAAGACTTCAACTCCTGCTTTAGATTCTTTTTCTCTTCAGCTGACATTCCTCTTCCAAGAGCAGATTTACTGTCAAATACAAAGTTATAACGTAGATTTAGACATCACTGTCTTAACTGTCAAAGTAACCAGATATTTCAATCGCAAGAGACTAAAATTATTATATCAAGTGATGCAATAACATAAACAGAACATTGTTCTTTAATCTCAATTTCATCGCAACCCTTGGTTCCATGGGAGATTAGTCAGTCCTAGAGAGCTGTAACTCAATGCTATCTCATAATAAATGCTGTTACTTCCAATTTTGCCTTCATGAAGCAATCTCGGATAGAGAGACTAATCAAAGAAAGTTTACATGGACATGAGAGATTCAACAAAAGCTGTGTTAGCAATTTCCAGGCATATTTTCTTCATCAGATCAAGTGGCATCCCAAAAGTTTAGGCCTTTCCAGTACCCACGCCACAAGGGACTCATTCAATCACGTCATCCAGTTGATTTTCTATGTCACGTCCTTTACATTCTAATTGTTATGTGGCCTTATGATATATGTCTAGTGAGATGGATTCCATCTTCATTGTCGATTTCTTGGTTATTTTCCTCACCTAACCAAGCCCACCAGTTGATTGTGGCTGTGAATTCCAAGCGGTGAAACATATTCCTATTGAGCCTAGGGATGTCCAGTTTGTGCTCTATTCAATTCTGGCCATGAGTTGCAAGCGGTGAAATATACTTTCAACAGCTTGTGGTTGTGAATTCCAAGCACTTTTATTTCTTGTCTTGAAAATTCATGTAGAGTAACCCTTTCAAAGGATAGGAGGATGCCATCAAATATTATGATTCTCTGGTTCAAATTTGAGAAGGTGAGATTAGGCTTACTGACAGAATAAGGGCTAAATCGGTTCAGTTTTAAGGGTAATTATGGAGAAGACTTGAAGGAGAAACCTTGTTGAAATTATAAACTGATAGGCCAAAAAAGTTTTGGTATGCAGTGTAGGGTTTTGAAATAAAATAGGACATTAAAGGCTGGTTATGGTTAATTAGCATGCACAAATAAACTTAGAATATTACTCAGATCTTCAATGAATTTCACATAAAAGAATAATTGACTTATCAAGATTAAGAGGGTCAATGAGAACTCTTATTCATCAATCAGCTGAATTATCTCTATTAAGCAAGCTTCTTTCGTTTTTCCCCCTTTTTCTGGTTGAAGATTAAGTACCTTTTTTTTTTTTTTTTTGGTTGATAGGATTAAGCAAGCTATTGAGAACTCAACAACTTATAAATTTTCATAGTATACACAGTACTGGCTTCAGTAAATGAAGAACTACGAATGCCAAGAATGTATTGAGTCACCCATGGTACATGAATTAGGTACTTCACACCTAAATTTCCTCTTTCTTCGTGTTACAAGTATGACATCAGAATTCAATCAGGCGTGGTTGAATAATATAAATGTAGTCCAATCAGGTTATTTAAAAAAAAAATACGCTAAGTACAGAAAATAAAATATGAAAGCAGATTGCAGTAAATTGGTAGGATAAATTTCGACAATGTTGCATCAAATGATGTGTTAAATTCATTCCCAGGTATGTATTATTCACTCATTGCATCACATGCATTGGTATCTCCAATAAAAAGTGATCCTTTCAAAAATCAGTTTTCACTAAAATTTACACTGATGGGTGATTATCTTATCACGTGGCACATCCTGGAAAAGGTATGCTAATAATAGGTATATTTTCTATCAAGACTATAGTTGAGTATCAACTCAACCTCCTCCAACCAGAGGGGGAAAAGAATGAATACCTCTCAGTCGTTCTACCTGTGAATATGAGGGGTAAGTATCTTGAGTACTTCCCAACACCAAAGCGTTCAGCAAGCTGCTGTATTTTATTCGAGTCCTGAAGAATCAAAGCCTTCCAGAGTTGACAATAGTCCAGTCTGAATTCTTCATCCAACTGTTTGTAGATCCCATGATCTAGAAGAACTGCATTATACATTGGTCATGACAAAAGGTAAGCATGCTCCCTAATGAAAACAGAGTATATTTTAATCATCTGGAATAAAAATTGGTAAACTTAAAATCATGAATCAGGACATACCTAAACAAAAGCCGTTTGGTCCTTCTGGAGCAACCAATATATTACCGGGATGTGGATCTCCATGCACAAAGCCATGGACAAAAATCATTTCAGCAAACACTTCCACTAATGCTTTGGCAACCTACAATTTATGCCAATCAAAATGTCACAAGCAACAAAGAAGAATTATTTCACTATAAAGGTGAGAGCAGAAGTCCTTCCAGATACATGGGGTTAGTGGATAATTTAGGAATACTGAAATTTTTGGAGCGCATGTGCATGTGTAAGCAAGCACACACAAAATTATTCTATGTCACATGAACATAAGAAAGACTAGAAAATATAACCAAAATTATGGTTATCAGAACAAAAACAAGTGAAACAAGAGGGATTGCAGGAACTATAATATGTATAATAGAACTACTAGTGTAATCTATTGCCAAATTAAAAAAACCAACCTTTATTGGGTTGATCCTCATTTCCCTCAGAAATTCCAAGTTATCAACCTGAAAGCTAAGGAACTTCCTGTCAATATAGCACATAAGAGTAGAATCTCAAATGCATACTATAACTAAAATTACATAAGCTAATGTGCAGCTGTCAAGGTATGTATATAGCTTCGCTAGAATGTATAAATATTGGGCTAATCTAATATTTGTGTATAGAATTTTACTAGCATGTGACAGGTACTAGTGGAGTTGTCAAAAAATAAAAATAAATAAACAAAAGGGAAAAAAAATTAAATAACTACTGGTATGACCATCATCAAGACCATCATTCTTGAATTTTACCCGCTTCTAGTAATTGATCAATAAGGGAATTTGAATTTTGCTACTTACATGGATGGAAAAAATTTAATGTTAAATTTGATAATAGCTAAGCTGTAAAATCCATTAAGTCCAAATGTGGAACAAGTGTTAGTATAGCAAATGATGGTCATGAATCACCACAGCCGAACTCAATCTGCAAGTGGCAATTAAACAAAGACCTATAGATGCAACCAAGTTTAAAAAGCAACAAATTCAAAAGGCTTTGATTTCATGTTAGGCAAGTAGTCTGTGTTACCATTGATGGGGATAAAGGCAGTTGCACTAAAATATTGTATAGACTAACAATAGTGCCTATTGCTATCACTTTTGGAATCAAATTTTCAGTAAACATGGCCGCTATTTTTTGGGTCAGTCAGCATACAGAAATTGGCTCTCTCTCGGTATTCGGTTCATAGGCCTGCAGCCCAATCAAATTTTCAAGGCCTCTTAAGGTGTCATTTAGATGAGCCAAGCCCCTAAAAAATGAAGTTCTAATGTAATTTGGCACCTTGGCATATTAGGCTGAAGAGACCCATTTCATCGCTTTATCCCTTTGGATTAACCAAATCAGCAAGTTCAGTCAACTATAGCCACTGAATAATTGGGCTCAACTCTTGAAATAAGCCCAAGACCATAGTGTGGATAGGCAACTCCGCAATTCGGCCCAAGTGCCTCATTCGGCATTTTGGGCTCTAAGGGTCTCAGTGACAACTCTCCAAATGGTTGACCTTATCTTGTAATACAAAGCCCAAGACTCTTATGCTGTGTTTGGTTGGGGGATTTGAGGAGGGATTTGGAAAGGGAAATAGAAAAGGTAGGTGAAATGTGAATAAAACATACCTATATTTCACCTAGTTTCACACACCTTTTCCCTTTTCTTTTCTAAATCCCTGTCCAAATCCCTCAACCAAACACAACATTAGAGTGGCTTGGGACCCTCACATGCCATAAAAACTTTAGCTCAGTCCATTTTGGCACTCTTCAGCAACAAATAGCACAAAAACGCCATGGTCACAGCTTCTACAGCAAAGCCCAAGGACCTCAGGGGCTTGGCATATTAGTTCAAGTCTGAAAAAGGTCCAATCAGCAGCCTAAGAACTCAACAAAGTGAAGAATGGCCACTTTTGATCCAAAATTCAGCATTTTGACCCAATACTTCAGCACCGGAGCATTGCCCAGTCATCCCCAACGTGTCCCCAACGCGGGGTAAGTCTTTCAAAACAAAGCCCAAGCCCTCCTTGGCCTGATGTCAAGGTGCGCCTATCCAAGGGTCAACACCTTGATGCCATATGTTTGGTTGGGGGATTTGAGGAGGGATTTGGAAAGGGAAATAGAAAAGGTAGGTGAAATGTGAATAAAATATACCTATATTTCACCTAGTTTCACACACCTTTTCCCTTTTCTTTTCCAAATCCCTGTCCAAATCTCTCAACCAAACACAATGTTAGAGTGGCTTAGGACCCTCACATGCCATAAAAACTTTAGCTCAGTCCATTTTGGCACTCTTCAGCAACAAACAGCACAAAAACGCCATGGTCACAGTTTCTACAGCAAAGCCCAAGGACCTCAGGGGCTTGGCATATTAGTTCAAGTCTGAAAAAGGTCCAATCAGCAGCCTAAGAACTCAACAAAGTGAAGAATGGCCACTTTTGATCCAAAATTCAGCATTTTGACCCAATACTTCAGCACCGGAGCATTGCCCAGTCATCCCCAACGTGTCCCCAACGCGGGGTAAGTCTTTCAAAACAAAGCCCAAGCCCTCCTTGGCCTGATGTCAAGGTGCGCCTATCCAAGGGTCAACACCTTGATGCCACACTCATCTGTGCCATTTGGAGAGCCAAAAACATGCCCAAAAAGTTGTTGGTGCAAGTGCAAGCCAAGGCCCAAGGCATGCCATGAAGCAACCCAACCACAGCAGGCCACAGACTTGCCAGCCCAAGCAGCAACTTTAGGCCAACTTTTGGAAGGTTAAATGTAGTCTTTTTGTCCCGTAAATTTTTATGTAAATACCTTAGTATTAAAGGTGATTTGGATCCGAGTATTGTAATTTTTTTCTTTTTGTAGAATTTTTAAAAATTCATTATAACTCCTCAAATATAGTGGATGTTTCCTCTTGCCAACTAAGAAATGGCTTAACAAGCTATATTAAGGAGGGGTACCCAAGTGTTGGACTAAACCACTTGTGCCTTTAAAGTACCCCACCCTAGCCATTGGTAAGGCAACTTTTGTAGCACTTTTTGTGCATTGTTCAACTATTGTAATGCCTTCTTTTGATCAATGAAAAGTTCATTTCACCTTTAAATTATGCAAAACTTTTCCATTGTTGCTTGCTTTAGTTTTAGCTTGTTGCTTACTATTTTGTGGCTCATCAACTTAACTAATATTGTGTTTGTTTGTTTTTGCAAACTTTTTGAGCTTTATTGGAGGGCTAGTGAAGAGAGTTAACTAGCGCCACACAGACTTGCATATCTTTGTCAAAGCTTCCGCACTGCCGGTGTGTTACAGTTGGTATCAGAGCCTAGTCTATTTGGCTTTCTCTATTCTTGGCTTTCTAAATGGATGCTCCTGGCAACCGTCAACCCACGTAAAGGGCGAGAATTGAGCTCTTGGAGCAGCGTATGGACAATATGGATGCCTTGGCAGCTTTATTAGCCAAGGTTCATGATCTTGAGCAAACTCATGGCCTTACTCAAGGGCAAGATTGGGAGGATGTTGTCACTGAACTCAAGCTAGAGATTGAAGATCTTAGTGGCCGGGTTAGTGCTCTTACCCGTGCCTTTGGCAATGCACCTGGTGGTGGCATGGAATTCCCTAGGGTGCGTGTGCCCAAGCCCCGTGCCTACGGTGGCGCCCGAGATGCCAAGGAGTTAGACAACTTTCTCTTCGACATAAAGCAATATTTCAAAGCTGTGAAAGCTGAAGCTGAGGAGACGAGGATTTCTATGGCCACAATGTATTTGTCCGGTGATGCCAAGTTGTGGTGGCGGACTAAACACGATGAGATGCAACGCGGCTTATGCACAATTGAGACTTGGGAGCAACCTAAGCATGAACTTAAGCTCCAATTCTTCCCCGAAAAATGTTGAGTATAATGCCCGGCGTGCTTTGCGAGATCTCAAGCATATCGGCACTATAAGAGATTATGTGAAATAATTCTTTGGGCTTATGCTAGACATCAAAGTTATGTCAGAGAAAGACAAGCTCTTCTTTTTCCTTGAGGGATTGAAGCCATGAGCCAGAGTTGAACTTCAAAGGCCAAGAGTGCAAGATTTAGCCCATGCACAAGCAGCAACTGAGTGCCTTACAGACTACGCTGAACCTAAGCAACGGGACAGTGGTTCCCCACGCAAGAGTAGGGGAGGTGGAAAGTCCCAAGGCCATGGTAAACCTAAAAGTGGGGAAGCCAACACTTCTACATCCAAAACCCATTTGGGTAGAGGACAATGGCAACAGAAGAGCTATGGTGACAAGGCAAGAGCCCCTCAATAATTCTCTACAAGCAAAGCAAAAGGTCCTATCTCTTGTTTCTTATGCAATGGGCCACATCGGTTATCTGAATGTCCACAAAATCGTGCCTTGAATGCTCTTGCAGCAGTGTCTGACCATGTCTATCAACCAAGTGACGATGATAGCGAGGAAGAGGACGTGCAATCTAGGCAAAGTGGCAAGGGTTCTAAGGTAGCTGGCTCTACAGTGGGAGCCTCTCATATGATGAATGGCATGAAGAAGAAGGCTTCTACAGGGAGGCCTAAGAAGAATGCCAAGAGTGGCAAAGTGGGCAAGCATTCAGATCCTAAACAACTTGTGGAGTCCAAAGATGAGGGCTAAGGGAAGAAACCCATGCATAGTGGGGAATCATCAGGCAAGTTGAACAAGAGCAAGTCATCCAACAAAGGTTTGATGTTTGTGGATGTAAAACTCAATGGGAAGCCCCTTCGTGCTTTGATTGACACAGGGGCCACCCACAACTTTGTTGCTGGAACCGAAGTTGAAAGACTTGGGCTATCTTTAGAGAAGGATGGCAGCCGCATCAATGCGGTTAACTCGGCAGCGTAGCCCATCTATGGGGTTGCAAAATCTGTTCATTTAAAGGTCAGCACTTGGGAAGGAAGAGTAGATTTCACCGCAGTACCCATGGATGACTTCTAAGCCATCCTTGGGTTGGATTTCTTGAGAAGCACAAAGACGGCAGTCATGCCTTATTCTAATAATATGTGTGTCATGGGGGACAAGCCATGTCTTATTCCTACTATGGCCACCAACAACAGTGACCGGTTTGTCTTAGCTATGCAACTCAAGGGGGGTGTTAGGCATGGTGAACAAACTTGGGTTGCCGCATTGAAGTTGAATGAAGCTCTTAAATCTACTCCTGTCCCAGCCACACTCAAGAAGGTCTTAAGGCAATTTACAGATGTTATGCCTGAATAGTTGCCTAAGGAGTTGCCTCTACGTCGGGGTGTGGATCATGCTATTGAGTTGGTGCCAGGGGCAAAGCCACCAGCTCGTGCACTTTATAGAATGGCTATTCCTGAGTTGAATGAACTAAGGAAGCAGCTTACGGAGTTATTGGAAGCAGGTTTCATCAAGCCATCAAAGGCCCCGTTTGGTGCACCTGTCTTGTTCCAAAAGAAGCATGATGGTAGTCTTCGCTTATGTGTGGATTATCAGGCACTCAACAAGCTAACCATCAAGAAAAA